ATATATCATGCGATAGACAAGGTTATCTGTATGTCACTGACTGTTAGAATAGTCGCGCCTAAAACTTTTATATTAATTTTTATTAAGATTGTTGTTCTGATAAAACGAAAAAAAGTGAACCAGCAGATATATGTGGTCGTATGTGAGATAAGGAAAAAGCAGTAAATGCTAGATATCTGATGATTTTCTTGCGAGAAAATACTTTTTTTGTATCATCATCACATTCTCTCCATGTATTTGCATAAACAATGAGCACGTACAACTGTTTTCCTTTTTCAACCAAACCGTGATCAAGCTCAATGTGTGCAAAAGGAAAACAGTTGTACGTGCTCATTGTTTATGTAAATACATGGAGAGAATATGATGATGATAGAAAAAAGAATTTTCTGGCAAGAAAACCATTTATTAATAAAACAGTCTGAATTTAAAAATAAAAGAATGAAAACTTCTCAAATTTGCATTATACTAATTTACAGTTTACTGATATGGTGCATAGGAGCGGATAATCATGTCTGGATACTTTACTCGAGAGATTCAACCGACATTGAATGTTTCATGAGTGGATCTCGTCGTTATTGTCGTTCAATCATAGTAAATGATACGATGAAATCATGCCAGGATGGTGATCCATGGACTTTTGACAAGCTCAAGGATCTGAACGTGACAAGTGAAAATTTAATCGATTGGTTAATTCCTTTTCATCTAATCGAGCAATATACTGTTTATTTGAATTATGATGAAAACAGCCATGCAGCTGAAGCAATTATTTGCAATTGTAGTCAGAATCGAATTGGCAGAAAATGTGAATATAGTTTCAATAATCAAGCAAAGAACCCCGGTGATTTGGTAACTAGACAAATAACTGAGAGTAATACAAATAATTATGAAACGCTCACACGATTTGTAGATGGTATCACATGCAAAGGTGCAGATATATTTCTTGAGTGGCGACACATATGTGATGGAATCACTCAATGTCAGAATGGCGCTGATGAGATTGATTGTCATCATTTGGAATTTCACAAGTGTGAACCAGATGAATTTCAATGTCGCAATGGTATGTGTATTCCTATTGAGTTTGCATTTGATGCTGCGCTTGATTGTATGGATGGGAGCGATGAGCAACAACTCAATGAACTCTACAAGCGATACTATGACTGCTCGAAAAAATCGACGTTCGAGTGCGATGATCGTCTGTGTCATAAAAATCAGTTTTCATGTGGAAATGGTGAATGCGTTCCTTGGTCATCGGTTCTAAACCATAATATAGGATGCCAGAACTCACGTCATTTAGCTTATATATGCGAAACATATAATCCGACCGGGGATATCCGTAGAGAACAGTCCGGCATATGCAAAGAAACGATGAAGCCTATCCTTCCATTGACGAACACTTCAGACTGTCTACAAACTCTGAGATATTTAGTACAACCTAGGGCGGTCAATCTATTAAGTGAACTTGCTGTTAAAAATATGAAAGATCGTTGTGAAAATCACATAATCTATTCAGAACAGAACGCTTTCTTTCCAGGCTTGAAGGTTGTTTATAATCGCTCTCGTATCGAAGCATTCTACAGTAAGCCAAGTAATTCACAGAAACGCATAGCAAAAGCACCTGATCTATACTATTTCAGTGGTGATATTGCATGCGACGGAATATCATTGACTATACATGAAAAGATTTGGTTCAATCCTCAAGAATTGAAAGAATTCACTTCATCTTACCCATTTTTTCCATTATTTCATTTAATATGTGAAAAGGTAATGAATAAATCAGCCAGTGATAGGCAAACGCACAAGGAACAGGTTCCTTCATTAACATCATTGTCTTATCACTGCAAAAATACATCGGATCGGATATCACTACGTCGAATCAATGATGGATACATCGATTGTCTCTATGGTGATGATGAAAGAAATCCCGATTATCCAATGACCGAACTATTTCGATACCGATGTCAAACTGTGACATCTCCATCCCAATATGTCAGCTATTCAAAATTAGGCGATGGTGTCGATGATTGTGCCGATGGAAGCGATGAAATATCCAAAGAACTACGTTGGTCATCTTTTAAATGTGATGTAAATGATGCTTATGCATGTTGGGTTTTCCAAGGTGATCAGTTCAGAGAGAATCGTATAAAAGACGCTCGATTTCATTTTCATCGTCACTGTGATTCAATTTGGGACTCCATGGATGGTCAAGATGAAAAAAATTGTTTACATTGGATATGTGATCCTGGTTTGTATAAATGTAATCGAACAGGGCAATGTATCGAGTTAAAATATTTTTGTGATGGTGAATTTGATTGTGATGATGGTGAAGATGAAATAAATTGTTCTATGCCATATAAACCATGGGATCTCGAAATGGAATGCAACAAAAGCACTGAGTTTTTTTGCATTACTGATAAATATGTGGAAAATCAAACCCTGCATCGTCCTTGTATTCCTCGTAGTCAAGTGGGTGATAGTCATATTGATTGTATTGGAGCTCGCGATGAACGTAACGTTGCTTCGTGTCCTGACCATCGGATGGTTGGTGATCGTTTTCTATGCGATAATGGAAATCGGTGCATCCATTATATGGCGCTATGTAACGGAATTAAGGATTGTGCGGATGAAACGGATGAGTCAATTTGCTATTGGAATAATGGCTGGTGCGACCCCGGACAGTTTCCATGTGCAGATCGAAAAGGATGTAAGAGTATGAGATGTAACTATGATATAAGTTGCAGTGATAAATCTCATCGTTTTTGGTGCCCAAATACAAACAATGAAAACTATGAAAACTATATCTATCGTTCGAGTAAAGACAGACTAGTGATTGATAACAAAAAAAGATGTTACAGTCAATCAGAGTCTCGTATCGAACTTTCAGTAAAATTATCACCCTCAGATCGTCAAGCCAGTGATAAGGCTACGGAATCACCTGTCTCATTCTTCTATTGTAATCGAGGTTTATATCTTCGTGCAGCCGAGAGTTCAAAACTCTATTGCTTTTGTCCACCAACTTTTTATGGCGATCGTTGCCAATTCAGCAGTCGACGAGTAGCCATTCAGCTTCGTTTCGATCGAAGACATCGTCTTGATCTTCCAATTATTCTGAATGTCCTCATGTCGCTTATTCTAAATGATAGTGTAATAGTTGATCATCGTTTTTTTNCATTCTTCTATTGTAATCGAGGTTTATATCTTCGTGCAGCCGAGAGTTCAAAACTCTATTGCTTTTGTCCACCAACTTTTTATGGCGATCGTTGCCAATTCAGCAGTCGACGAGTAGCCATTCAGCTTCGTTTCGATCGAAGACATCGTCTTGATCTTCCAATTATTCTGAATGTCCTCATGTCGCTTATTCTAAATGATAGTGTAATAGTTGATCATCGTTTTTTTCTCGATGAAGACAAGGAATATCCATCGAAGATTACTGCCATCTTAGTTTATCCTCGCCCAAAACCTCAAGGCATCTATTCTGTACGGATTGAGGCCTATCATTCAACAGAATTGATTCATTTTTGGGAATACCCAGTCAGCCCACTGGACTTTCTACCTGTCTTACGTATCGCCAAAATACTTCGATTTCCTAACCATTCACTTCCATGGTTCTGTCCTCACAACTACTGTCAAAACAATGGAACCTGTTATCAACGAGAGGAAAACCGATTTCTCTGCATTTGTTCACGCAACTGGAATGGCAAACTATGTGAAACTAGAAGTGATTACATTAGTTGTGCGCCATCCTCACTAGCTCGAACAGAAAACATTTGTGTTTGTCCATATGGCTACCTCGAACCTTATTGTTATGTTGAAAATCTCAAATGTCAACGAATCAGCTGTAATTGGAATGAAATCTGTGTTCCAATTTCGAATTCTCCTATTTATGAGCATATTTGTATCTGCAACACATCTGATTGCGTCCCCAACCGACCAGTAATCAGCCTGAATCGGCTAGACCCGAATAAATTACCATTTCTTTTGCAATTGCTACAGCTTGCCGGTGATTATCCTACTATTCGTCAACAAATCCTCATTCCGCCACTTAGTTCGTTTCCATTAGTTCGAACAATCAAAACTCGTGATTTTCGAGATAATGTTGGGCTGCCTCCAGAAATTGGATTACTCTCCACTTTTAAACCCAATACACATTCAATAGAGACTACAATGTATTTACTTTTTATTAATTGTTCGAATGCAATACGAAATTTTTCCGTTGATCTTGATCTATATCCACAAATGTGTCATATCTTACCCGAAAATCATCGAAACTCTGTCACCTTATTTCCCAATTTCTGTCAGAATTCAACGTATGGTTCTTGCTTTAC